ATGAAAGTAAAACCTCTTAATAAGGGTAAAATTTCTACCCACGTCTAAATGTTCATATTTAGACATTCAAACTTTACATTTTCCCAATATAGACAGCAGTATATTGAGCAAGTATTTAGGCTAAAGGGTAATATAATGTTCTATTTAATATTTTGGAAAATAAAGGTATTAGGTTTTTATTTATCGTTTTATATGATTTTATAAATACTCATCATATGTGTTTGATTATCGGAGTAGACTCATAGTAGACATGGTTTCCTAGCAAGGTAAAATTTTGCTTTTGACTCTAGTTCTTCAAATATTATATAAAATTATTTGTGCAAATATTATATAAAATTATAAACCACTTCATTTATGTGGCATTCATCCACCAGTGCTATAGAGGTAAAAGTAAAACAGCTTTCATACATGAGTCCTGAAACATGAAAATTAGTTTGCTGAATTCAAATTGAGTCAATAAATAATTAGGGGAGGAAGCTCTTTGTCTACTGTTCAATTATTTTCTCTCTTTTTCTCCCTCTGCTGCTCATTTTCATTTCCTTCAAAATCAGAGCAGCAAAAGAATTCTTTTGGCATAAATGTTATGCCAAATGGTAAATTATTGATGCTTTCTTATCTTTCTTATTGACTACAAATCATAGTCAGAATTTGATAATAAAAAAACAAAGCATATTTTTGTGTCTAGTTAATTTTTCATTATCAACTTTTCTATCCTAAAACATTTTTCATTTGCTTATGCCTATGTATATTTTGTCTAATATTTTGTTGGAATGCTTTTTGAATAGCAAAGTTCAAGGGAAAATGCTTGTTTGTAAAAAAATTTTTATGCAGCATTTTCCAAAGTATATTTTACAGGATGTCAGAGTAGCTAGTAACAGGTGTGAAATGAAAACCACATAGTTTCTGACTATAAGTGTAGGAAACACATGGCTAAACAATATATCAAAGCTCTAATATGAGATGAGAGATGTCAAGAGGGAGATATTTCCTGAATGTCTTTGGCCACAGAACTTTCTTTCTCATGGAGCTCATGTTCTTTAGAACGTGCTTTGGAACTACTGGCCTACTGAATGCCCAGGACCCGGTCTCCAGGTGAGCCCAAACCATACCAGCCTCTAGCAGTGAAAAGTTCCTACTCTGTATATCATAGGCATGCCCAAATGTTTTATGTCTTGGAGTCATTATCATTACTTATTAATTGCAGTACTTTATACATGGTCAAGTACATTTGTGCTTCTCATGCATGCACTTCATGATTGAAAGCAATCATACAGCAGTTAGGCCTCTCTTTGGCCACATAATGTCCTGTTAAGGAAAGGAGCCATTCTGTTATAAAGGAGACAATTCTGTTCTTCCTTATAATTCTACTCCAGTTGAGGATTGAATCACTGAGTGTGACTTTACATTGCTATTACTATGCATCAAGAAGCATGTTATAGTTGATCAGTAAGTCATCTGATAAAAAAACAACAAAACTATCTTCCCTACTTATATTCTAAAGGAAAAAATGGCTATTTTCCTGTTTTTCATCCTCATTAAACCTTGGGCCTGCACCAACACTAGGGCCACTTCTTTGGATGTCAAGACTTCGACTTGTAGTTGCAAGGCTCTTGTTTGCATATAATCCTTGGGGATTTTTGAGAGACGGTGATTCACTGACAAGGGATGTTTCACCACCTTCAGTGAAGCATATGCTTTGATTCAGTGAGGTCTGTGAGACCAGAGTTTAACATCAGAACTTTCTCAGTAAGATGAGTTGGTGATTCCCCTTGGCTTGTACCTTAGACGTGTGGGTATAAGATAAATGCTTTCTTAATGATAGTTCAGGGCAGCCAAATCTTTTATCTGCCTTAGCTTACTGGCTCTCTTACCATTGATAATAAGTTGCTGCTCCTGATAGAAGTTAACTTGTTTTATGTTAAAACTTAGATCCTACTTAGGATGAAGTATTTCCTCTTATAACTGAAACTGTAACGTCTGCGAATGGACGTTGTGTTTTGAAGACTTTTTGCCAACAGCTCATCTCCTAAATATGTAATGAATTAGGATTTTAAAGATGTGGCTCCTCCTTGCACCTCTCCCGCCTACCTGCACGATTTTGGGAGGGGGAGATTCATGTCCTTAAGTATAGCTTTTTTTTGGATTAGCGTTTTAATGCTTGAAGGCAATAAAAAAAAAATGTTTGTTGATATGGGGCCACCCAGTTCTCTGCGTGTTAATGAGCTGAGCAGTATTCATGGGTGGCACTAGTTAAAAGGGAGAAGGTATTAAGGGAAAGGAATAAAAAGTTGAGGGCAGGTGAAGGAGAAAGAAGGGGATAAGGAGACAGAGTGCCCCCAATGTTCGTACCTAGTTTCATCCAGGCCTAGGGCACCCAACTTCAACTTGAAAAAGCTTTTTGGATTCTTTTGATTTGTTAAACCAGATGCATTCTGTTTTATATAATAGGGAGCACACACTCAAACTACATACCATTTTAAAGGTTACATACATATTTTAGATTTTTTTGCAGACAGACACAATTAACACACTTTATTATAGCTCTCCATTTTGAGCCATTCCGATCAGTTGCTGCCAGCTAGAATAATGTGCATAAACTTAGCTCTGTTTATATGTAAACCGTATAATATTTTAAAGCTCACGTCATTGTTTTTCCCCTTCTCAAAGTACAGCATGTTTTGATCTACATAGGGAATATTTTTAAAAAGTGGATGCCTAAGAATGTAAACAATTGGGAGGAGAGATGCAGCTGTTTATGATTTACTTTTTAATCTTCTGTTCTTTCGTGGCTTCTAATGTCAAAGGACTTTTATTTACCTTTTATAGTGTATGGCTTAGGACTTTTATAAGTATGCTTTTTCTAGTTTTTCTTTTGGCTTTCTAAGTAAAGGACGGAAGAACTTCAGGCAAGTTGTCAGATAAAAATATCCCTGTGTCTACCAGGTCTTGAGCTGGAAGCAGTAGGATACAGGGGAGATACAATCCTTCCAGTAAAGAGGGTTTCCATTTTACGGGGCAATAAATGTCAGGTCTCACGCTTTACCTTTGGGCTCTGTTTGTGTTTGCTTGTCAAGATCTATTAGTCACACCCAGTTTCTTGTGTCTACCACTGTCTAGACTCTTCTAGAAATGAGAGATTTCATATTTAGTGTTTTTACAGGAGGACACATAATAAGGGATAAAAGTGTGATTTTATGATGGTAATCTCTTTTGCAAGCTGTTCTCCAGAAGTGAAGGTATTTCTGATATCCAGGTGCCTATTATGTGAAATGTTGTTTTAGCTGATTTAGTTTGGATTTATCAGAATGGCATTTCAGTATGTAATTTCTCATTATCCTTTGTAAACACGAAGCTTACCCTGTTTCCTTTTATAAAAATAACTTTGTATATTCCAGTGGACTCTATTTAGATGAAAGGCTTGACAACACTTCCACCCATGCTTTTTATAGCATTGTCTATAAATTTGTGGTTAAAATTTTGAATCCTGGTTGCCCCATTTACTAGCTTTGAGATCCTGAGTAATTTATTTACTCATCCTTTCTAGACCTCACTTTCTTTGTGTTTAAAACAGCAATGGTAATACAATCTCAGGACCGTGGTGAGGATTAAATGAAATAATGCATATTAATATCCTTAGCATGTTGGCTGTATTGTTGATAGAGATTCTAAATTGCTGAGTGTGTGTTTGTGAGTTGGGTTAGTTTACATACCCCACCCTAAGCCCAGGAATGGTTTACTAAAATATCCAGACAGGGAAGAGGATACAAGTGTAACTTGAGAACAGTTCTCATTAACATTAAAATTGCTTTATTTTTTTTTTTTGTCATGACATTTAGTTTGTAGCATTAAAAGATAGGCTGAGATTTTTTTTATTATTATAAAAAGGAGATAACACTTTTAAAAGGTTAACAAACCTATTCTTTAATCACTGCCCAATGTGAGGATCTCTTCACGAAAACTTCAGAGTCCATTATCTTTGCTTTGGCTGAAATTACCTATCCTTAATCAAGTCATAATGGAGCTCAGAATAGATGTATGAGTACCTATGATTTCTTATAGACCCTTTCTTAGGCAGTATACACACTTATTTATTGAATACCAATTAGTTCTAAAACGGTGTGATAAATCAGGTAGGGAGTTGGAGATAAGAAACCTCAAAAGCAATTTAGTAAAGGATGTTAATCAAATGTAAGGTTGTTCACAGTTTCAGAAAATTACATTTCATGGCATATTTGGAGTATGGGATGATTGTACCATGCCTAGACATAATTTTACCTTTCAGCTAATGAGGTATAAAAATGCAGGTTCCAAAAGCTTAGGGTGCTTTAGAACTGCCCTTTTAGTTAAGGGCAATCCATTTCAAATAACGATTCAATGACTAAAATTATAAGTTTAAAGCAAAATAGGAAGCACCTTCATACCCGGTGATAAAACACATGGCAATATCCCCTTATTTAAATTACAGGATGAGTGTAACAGTTGGGGTTTCAATGACATGATTCTTTGAGGTCCTCCTCTCTGCAAACAGGAAGCTGCAAAGAGGCAGAGCTTCAGTGGCAAGCCCCTTCTTCCCTTTTCAGTTCCTCTTTCTGCCATCACCCTCCCATTTGGGTTTCTGGTAGCTTCCTGCTACTGAGTAGAATGAATTAATTGTCCTGTAATTGCTTGGTTGTTGGGATTTGTGCCGCATGCTTTACAGTCACCATTTCATTTAATCCTTACAACAACCTAATGAGTTAGGTATTTTTGTCACCATTTTAGCAGGAAGCTGCAGCTCAGTGAGGTTGATCAAGTGCCCCCACCCGGTACTGGGGTCTCCCGCTGTGCGGGGACGGGGACATGGGTCCAGCAGGAGGTGCCTTGCAGAGCAATCATGTGCCATAGCCCTTGGTGAAGTGTGTTCTCACTGCCCCATTGGTTATATATATATATTATATATAATATATATATTATATACATAATAATATATATATATATATTATTTCCTGCTGGGCAGGAAAACTGCCCAGCAGTGGTTCTGAAATCGCTCTTGGGGGTCTCTCTGGCCACCTCATCATCTTCCTACTGTTTTCCTAAAGTTGCACCTCAGGGTCAGAGCACAGAGTCAGGCCCCGGGAATCACACTGCCATCTAATCTTTGAGGCCTGGCCACCGCTGTGAGACTTCACTGGCTGGAAAGCAGAATCTTGTGACTGACTTTGTACTAAACAGGACCGAAGGACGTGCTGGCAATTCGGGGCCTGTCTGCCTTCCCGTAGAAGCTGGGACCAGTTCGCTACTGTCTGCTGCCCCGAATAGAAGTTATTAGCACACACAGACCATCTTTTTTTTAGTCTTTTCTAAAAGAAAAAAGTCCTATTGAGTCATTATGGCTTTGCTGCCTCTCCCAATATTACAAAATGTGCTACTTCAGGCACGTTTGCAAGCATCTGTGGTGCCAGGGTTGAGATGTCTTCTCAAAGAATTATCCTTGTTCTTAAGGAAAATTCTGGAGGCTGAATTAATACTCAGCAGAAAATGGGAGCATATATATCTTAATATCAGTACTTCTGGTATTTTGAAGTTGCAGGTGTGTAGTCCTTTAGTAGTTGTATCACTTCTGCTCATTTATTTGAGATGAGATCTGAGTGACAGTTTGGTGGCTTTTACTACCTGTGGTCCCCTCAAATAATAAAGACGTGGAGTTTGGATTGCATACTAGCCTCCGATCTGTGCCTTGTGGTTTATTTATTTGGTAAAAGCTGGCTGCAGGGCAGGGTGATGTATTTCATTGAGTTGTGGGGAATGGCTGTTTATTTTTGGTTCTGTCATCTTGGAGCTAAGGCGCAGGGCCCTAACTCCAGGTCCTATGGACAGAAACCCTCAATGGCAGAGTAATCTGCATTCGCTTTGGAAAGAGATAGAAATGTATTGGGTCACAGTTTTCATACCACTTTCTGCAGGTCAACTATCTCAGTCTCTGGGCCTTTCTCCTTAGCCTAAACCCTACACAGGGTTAAAAAAAAAGGGGGGCGTGGGTAGTAGTCTTTTAAAGAATTCTAGATATTGTTGTCTTCCCCAGTCATCCAAATCTGTTGTTCAAGAGCCCCAGGGGCAAAGGTTTCTCATTCTTCTCTAGTTAACTGTTCCAGAACCCTCTCCACCTGGAAATTTTTCTTCATGTTTCCATTCAAAACGATTTCTGCAATTGAAGCCCATTTATCATATGAAGATAGAGGACAGATGGCTTACAGTGTAGCCCTCCTCATTAGTCCTCCAGCTAAGCCCTCTCGTTATCCTTGTATAGAAATTAAATAGTACGTTTCCTCTTTCCTCTTAGGTTCTTTACCCCTTTGCTACTCAGAGTGTGGTCCTCAGACCAATAGGATCAACTGGTTGCTTGAGAGCTGGTTAGAAATGCACTATTTTGGACCCTACCCCAAGTCTGCATTTTAACCAAATCCCCAGGAGACCCTAAGCACGTTAAAGTTTAAGAAGTGCTGCCTTACTGTATATCTTTATAATTTGGCTGCTTTCTCTGTGTTTTCCTCTATGATGGCTTACCAGTGGAAGCCAAAGCTAGACCTGGTACTGTAGTAATGTCTTGGCTATTACCAAGTATAGTGGAAATGTTAGCAATTATTTATGTACCTCAAATCCCTGTTAATTTAATACTCATGATATTAAAATACTACAAACTAAATTGATATGTATTCTTCCTTTAGAATAAACATGTAGTCTACAAAGCATTTTTTTTTTTTTAGTCTTTTTTTCTGCTGTTTCCTTTTACCTATGCAGGTTCCCATTTTGGAGTTGAATTATTTGGCTGCTAGGAATCTTGCTTTGCATTTCCATTGAACATCATCCTGTTTTCCTTCTTCTATTAGGATCATTTTGCTTTTTCTAACTAGTTGCACTGTTAAGCTTTAATGACTCATGGGGTGGGTAGAAAGAGTGCTGCTCTGGGAGCCAGGAGATCCCTGGTCTCACCCCAGTGCTGTGACTGACCAGGCTTGTGAACTTGGGCAACTCATTTAACGATTCTAACTCTTAACAACACCACACAATCAACAAAGTCCTTGTAATACCAGGCCTGAAACTTTTTTGATTATTCTGTGCATATTAATCGATGAACTCTTTGTATGATGGCTTGGTCACAAAGCAGACATCGCCTGTAGAAATGAGAATGGGGCATTTAAAACAAGCACTGGGATAATTGTCATCCACATGTGTATTCTGGTTAGTCATTGCACCACCCTCCTTACACACTCTCCTAGAGCTCTCCGGTGAGAAGAATGGGCTGAGTTGAATTTTTGTTAAGTTTTCCTTTTATTTCTTAGATCTGTTCCTGGGAGAAGTGCTAGCCAACCACGAAAGGGTCAAAGGCAGAGGGAGGGGGCTGCTATGGGAAGGGTCCCAGCTTATTCACTTATGGCAAGTGGTTCTCAAATCAACTTCCTATTGACTTTCTCTAGCTGTGCAGGAGAGGTGGGAATTAGCAAGGATTTAGTAATCCTCCCACCTCCAGGAAGGTCTTGGTTTCTACTGGAAATTCCCTTGAGAGGACCCCAAAGGAAATGACGTGGGGCAAGTCAGTGGCTGTGTTTAGGGGCCCAGCTGGGCATTGCTGATGGTTGGGAGTGAGGAGAGTTCAGGAAGAAAGAGGATCCCTGCTAGAGGATAAGGCCTGCCATGGACACGGCCTGGTCACGGCCTGGTCACTCTTCCTCAGCTGTCACAGAGACGCCAAGTGAACAGGTTGGCCATTGCCCACTTGTTACATGGTTTTACAGAAAAAAACTTCAGCCAATTTTTGAGCAGAATTAAGCAGAGCTTATCACAGGACTGTTAATCAAGTGTTAATTATACCCTGTTGGTGTTTGGTAGTGTGGTGAAATTGTGTGGTTCGCTTTCATTTTGAAGGCATTTTGTCAGCATCTCAGGCTACAGTCTAGAAAGAATAGAACGTATTGTTTCCTTGGTGCACTCTGGACCACAGCAGCTCCTGTGGCTGTGTTTAAGGAGGATCTGTTCATGTTACCATCACCTTAGGGTTCAATTGGAAAATCTTGGTATTTAACTGCCTGAAAAATCAACTTGTTCTTTCTGTTCATTGTCTACTTTTTAAAATTTTGAACCCTGTGTACTCTCACTGATGATGGTGTGCGTGCCTACCCACCTCACCCCCTTTGCTATTTTCCTTCAAGATTAAATTTAGGGAAAACAGACCCAAAAGCATCTCCCTAGGAGGATATATTGCACACAGAAACAGCAACTGGAATTGTTGACTGTTTGTTTCTTGGTTTCATCTTTTAAGGTGGGTCTTTATTTGATAAAGTGGGGAAAAAAACCTTAGGAAACAGTATTCTGATTTAGGAGTAGCCTCTTAGAGAACAAAGTTAGTAGATTTGTTTTAAAAAGTTGACTAATTCTAGACCCTAGGGTTTTGTTTGTTTGCTTTTTGACTCTCAGAGATTTGAGGGCAATGAGCATGACTGATAGTCACAAGTAACATAAGTAATATGTCACCTTGTTCACCATGGCCTTCTCTTGTTATCTCCCTGAGTTCTACAAATGAGTGCTAGGACCAGATATTTTCTCCATTTTATTAAATTGTGGAGGCAAAGCAAGATCAAGTGACTTGTCCAAGATCAGACAGAAAGTATTGGCTGAGTTGGGCAAAAATGCACACATAGGAGTAGCAAATGCATTTCCTCATGGGGTTCATCTCTCTTTCGTGGTCAGAGTAGGTGGGGCAGCATCACACCCGGCCGGTTGCCCCCAGACTGTTGCTTGGGCCTCCATAATGCCTGATACTCTTTCCTCTGCAGCTGATGCTTTTGCTATAGCATTGCATCTGGGAGGTTTCTGTTTCCTTTGGAGAAGAGACATAGGAAAACATGGTTCCAGACCGGTTATTCGGATTAACAAGCTGTCTTCTAGTAAAAAGCTTGTGAGGGTGTGGGAACACAGCAGAGGCAAGTTTCAACCAGGAATAATAATTTGGGAAAGGTCATGGGCATGGGGGAGGACGGGCTGGGACCCTGAAGCCATGGCATGGCAGTCACAGAAACATAAGGTGGCCCCGGAAGGTCACTGTGATTACAGACACCTCTTCCCTCATGCTCTTGCCTAAAGCTAGTGAGAACCCCAGAAACAAGTGACAAGCTCTGTTTGGGGGCTTCCTCCATGTCCTCAGCTAAAGGAAACAGCAGCTCCGAAGGTGCTTGTAGTCCAGCAAGGCGCACGGTAACATGGTGCTCCTTAACTTCAGAATGCTGTTAGGGAACTTTTAAGCCAATGATACTTTCCAAATTAAAAAGGAAGAGGCCGTAATGTCAGATAATGAATAGGAACAACGTGGAAGTAAGACTCGAAAGATGAAAGTGAAAGACCAAGAGCTTTGGGGTCAGAGGGTGAAAGGTCAACCCCTCTTTGGCAGCTGAGAGAGTTGCCCTACCCTATCCCTTTATGTGGGACAATAAAGAAGTGTTTTCAGTCAATGAGAAATCTTTACCATCATCTGCCTCAATGACCTTAGAGTTGCAAGCAATGTGTGCGTTATCAATTATTTTAGATATTTTTCCAATTGACTCCCCTCCCCCCAGCTGCCAATGGTTAGACATGTATCTGGCAGCAATTTCAATATTTTGTCAAGTTACTCAGGCAACATTGACTGCTGGGTCATATGTCTGTCTAGTTCCTTCAGATGAAAGATTGGAGAAAATAATTTGGGGGAAAAAAAGCCACCTAATTCCCCACCATGCTTAGAACCTGGAAATAGTGCATAAGAATCTCTCTGAATATCCCTTCAAGCCTATTCATGTGACCTCTTTGTAAATGCTTTCGTGTTGTATTGTAAGTCTTTCATTAGCAGACTTAGAAAGGGGGTGGGCCTTCAAGTTTCTAATTTTCTCAAGCAATAAGAGTGGCTGAGGTAGGAGGATCACTTGAGCCCAGGAGTTTGAAGTTGCAGTGAGCTGTGATGATGCCACAGCACTGTAGTCTGGGCAAAAAAAAAAAAAAAAAAAGTGGCCTTTCAGCAGTGTTTCTGTAGATGGTAATCATCCAACATCTTGTAAAAAATATGCAAATACTACTGTCTTAATATTGAGTTCCTGCTGTTCCCTGTGCAGGTAGGCAGGTCTTTGTATAAAATTGAATCACACATCATATTTTTAGCTTTACTACTACTACTACTTCCTCTACCTTTTTCCTCTACCTCTTTCTTTCTTTCTTTTTTTTTTTTTTTGTTCTGGCATTTTCCCATGTCACCTCTTCTCTGAAATAACTTGGTCTCTCTTCCCAAGATGCATCCTGATTTTGGCTTCAGCGCCAGTCCTTGGTGGGCATTTGGTCTCTGGATTCATTCTTGCCTGGGAGTTCCACCAGGGCATTTTGGCTGGTGTGTTTTCAGGTACCATGAGAAGATGTGAGATCCAGGGATTTCTAGCTCTTAATAACAGTAGTTACAATAAGAGCTAATGAGTGAGGGCTTGTTAAGAAATTGTCACATATTACCGTATTACCTCATTTGATTTCAATAACAACCCTATGAAATGGGCATTATTGTCCTATATTACAGATGAAAACATTGAGATTTAGGAATCTCAGAGAAATCACAGAGAAAACAATAATGAGAGAAAGGATAAGGGAAGTCATCTCACTTTCATTTTAGATTTTTTAGATTTTAATTCACAAATAAATTTTGAGTTAAAATTATCAGTCTTTAAAAAGCGTGTCAGCCATGTATATAGCTCCATCTTCATTCTCAAAATAACCTTTTTGGAGTTGAATTCTCTAAATTACATTTTGGAATTCATACAGTTTACTCACCACTCAGGTCGTGGCAACTCAAGGGAAGCACACGTTTATTGCATTATTACTTTATTGCAAGCAACAGTTACAGCTTATCTTTAACATGACCCAATTAACATTGGTCCTGCCTGTGGCCATCTGCATTCTAAGATGAATGGTGTAGTTTACCATGCTCCCTCATATTAACTTTTGTTTAAGAATCACTATCATAGCCCAGAAATCTTTATGACTTGCATTTCCTTAACAAGAATTCTTAAGGTAAAACAAATGAGAATTGAGGGTTGAATCCATTTGAGATATGCTGCCATATACTTATATTTATGATCAGTTTCAATTGGTTTCAGAGAGGAAATGTTGTTTTCATTAGTGAAGCCATTAAGGAAAAAAAAAAACAAAAACCAGTTATAACTTCAAAGAATCCCAGATCAAATTCTTCCCAACACTTTTCCCTTGGTATTTTCCTCAAAGCAAGAAGGAAGACAAAGATTAAACTTTTTTGCTGGTGATTTAAGATGATGGCTTCCTGGAGATGTTAATTAGATGTGTGTTTTAGGGAAAGTCTTCTATTGAACTTGCCCTTCCCCTTGCTAGGAACTGCTGGGAGTGGCATTGTCCTCTGGAAGGTCTGTTTAATGATCAAAAAAACCTAAGGGAAGATTAGGGCCGCACAGCTGAGGTACCTCGTGGTTCCTTTTAAAGACGCTTGCTCAGTTCAGTAGATTTTTCTTACATTACCAAGTTCTTCCATAAAGTCAACCACAACCCATATTATGGGGACTCCGGCTAAATCTTGTGGTGAGTAGGAAATAGATTAAACACAGGTTTTCCCATTCTCCAGCTGCCAAAAGTGATGTCAGTGGTGTTAATGATCTTTACCTCCATCAAGGGCAGACCAGGGCTGACTCTGAATGCTTGTTCTGTCCCCATCCTGCGCTGTTATGGAAAAAGTGATGATGGTTGAGAAACAATTGGATAGTCAGACAATTACTCAAATGTAAAATCGGGCACTTGCTTTCTTGAAGCAATTTGACTCCAGGGGAAAGGGCAAAAATCTATTTAGCATTTAAGGGAGAAAGTAAAGGCAGTGAAAATGGATCTGTCTGATTCCCTTTTGTCTAATTACAGAAACAGTATTGCCTACACTTTCTACTATCTATACGCTACGCCGTAAACAAAGTTGTGATTGTAATTTAACTCTACTGGCTTGTAGCAAAGCCAGACCTATAAAACCTGTATTCTGACCATTGCAAACAAAACCAAAAGTGCACAAGTGACCTGGAATTACAAAAGAAACCTCAGAATTCTGGAATGTGGTTCGTGTGAGGGAGAATATGTTGCAGAGAAAGCTCCCTGGCAGGCAGAAGAAAGACTTGATTTTTATGACTTTCTTACTCAGGTGGGAAGAGTCTATCATGTTACTTTCATATCTGTGTGTGACAGGTTTATTTTGGTTGTGTTCTATTAAAATTAAAGCTTCCTGTCCCATATTACCTGTGGTCTGACTCAAAATATAGAGGGATTTTTTTTTCCTGAGTCCTCCTACCTTGACGCTGTCGTGGATATGGGACACATTATAATATTGGTAGAAGAGAGACTGGAGACATGTTGATTTACATTTCACGAGGAGCTGTTGTGGTGTTGAACCCATTCGCTTTTTCAGCCTGCTCCCTGTTCGTAAAAAGAATGGGGAATAACTGAAATGGATATTCTTGGCTTAAAAAAGGTTTCTGAATATTTATGCAGATTTCCTTAATATGTCATTGACAGAAGACTTTAGTAACTCTTGAGAACTATATGCTACTGTTTGTGTTAGTCTACCTTCTCCATCACTCCCTCACCATCTTGAAAAGTTTCCAGAACCTCCGTCTGCCTTTTGTAGCTGGGCAAGGAGAAATCCACAGTGTTTGACAGAATTCAGCCTGGGAGGCCACAGTGGGAGCTGACAGGCTTCATGGTCGCCTCTCCTCCTTCTTTCCTTTTCATAATACGTGTGCCTTTCTTCCTTGGTGGTCTCCTGAAGTCACCAGCCCTGCCAGAAGGTCTTTCACTGGGACAAAAGGGGAACTGGAGCGAGATGGCCTCTCACATGCTGGCAGCTCTCCCCGAATTTTCTTCCTTGGCAACCCTGTGCACTAGAAGGTCTGGCCAGCAACCTTGTTATTTTCACCAGCCCTCTCCCATGTGACTCGCACCAGGCAAAAGTGCTATTTAAGCAGCTCCGTTAAAGCCGGTCAACTACCCTTTGCCATTTAAGACCACAAAACCAAGTCTTTCCAGCTCAGTCCTGGCCTGTTTTAAAAGAAGTTGGTTTCCTTTCTTTAGCTAAAACGACTTTCCCCTTTCAACATCAAGTAGCAAACATCTTGGTCCTTCCTCTAACTTTAGCTCAATTCTCATTTGATTTTGTGTGTGTGTGTGTGTGTGTGTGAGTGTATGTATGTACGATTATGATCCGAAGGCTTTAAAACTGGGAATGCTTTTTCACCAGTTCCGTCCTTTTCCAAAGCCTCAGCGCACCCCCACACTTTGCAGCTACACCTTGTAAAGAGCAGAGACTTTCCCGTGTCCCAAACTTCCGAAGCTCTCTGGATGTAGGTCTTCCTTTCGTGCGGGTGGTGACCACAGCTAACAGAGCGGGACCAGGAGCGTGCAGCTTTCCTCCCTTGATGCTACCGTCTCACTCGGATGGTAGAGCCCAGAACCGAAGCCGGGAAACTCCTTCAATACGGGTTTCACAGTCTTATCACACAGATCTGTGGGCTCATTTACTCATCTGAGGTTTTCTAGTGTGAATGTTAAGATAAGGAGCTCCCATCCCCTACCAGAACTAGGAAAGTATTTGAGACTCATGATTTTTTTTTTTTTAACTTACTGGGCTCATTTGCCAGATTCAAGTGTGCTAAAAAATACTTTTGCAGTGTTTTAGAAGGTTCTGTATTAATATGCATGCATTCTAGAAGACAGGATTTACTTTAAATCAGTAATACTATGAATAAATTGCATCAGCATCTGTGAGGTAGCTGAAGAAATGAATTGCGGTAGGATGGTATGCAATTGAAGGTGATTGTGTGAAATAAGAAATCAGCAGATCTGGGAAGAAAGAGGAATATGTCACAGGCATCATTGTCTGAATCTCGCATGGTACTGAGCTACCCACCTACCTCTGTGGTCTCGTGAAGTTAGTATTTTTCTCCCCGGAGAAGAAGCCCTCTTCTCTTCTTCCAAATCTTTTGCCTGTACCATTCCCATAAGGACTTAGGCTTTTGGAAACCAAAGACAGAAAGCTAGGAGCTTTTTCTACTTTCAAACTGTTATATTCTCCCCACATACAATGAATTGGGAGGATGAGAAATGAATAGAATAACAGGAAGGTCTAAACAATTGGTTAACATTTCAAATATTTTCTCATTGTAGATTTTTAATAATGGGAAAGATCTAACTGTGCTTAAAACATTATTTTCCTCTCCTACTTAGAATGGAAAATTATCTCAAATTCTATAAGTAAATAGTGAAATGAGAGCCACAACTGAAGGGTGGCTTTTTTTTTCTGGGTGATGGGAATTACAAGTAATGTTTATTCCTTCTTTACATTTTCCTGTGTTTTATACATTTTTCTATATACTAATTAAGATTTTTTAAAAATCACAGCTATTTATGTTAACTGAAAGACAAATATGTTGTTTGAGACATTTCTTTAAGTGGGGGAATTTTGTATATATGAATTTTTCTAGTTGAGTCTACAATGTAAGATTTTAAACAATGGTCTCCATTGAAGAAAATTTATCACTACAGTCCTTTTGTAAAGTACAATTGGATGAAGAAGGGTTACTTTCTGGCTACATTTTATTATATGACAATAGCCAAGCAAGTTATATTATTCCTATTTCTGTAGTGAAAGTAGAAACTGCTAGTAATGCCCTAACCAGATTTTTATTACTGTGTTGCACTTGACTCAACAAATTGGCAAGGACTTTCAAAACATGCAAATACAAGATAAAAACACTTGTCAACTGTTTTAACCAAAAATGCACTGCTGAAAGGGTAGAGATCCTTTCATCATGCTTATATTGTAACCTGTGCTGTTTTCAGCTGCTTTTGTGGTGAAAACTGAGCAGTAGGCCAAGACAGTATGAAAGGAAGCAAAAGCCTTATTTGCTTTTCAGCTAGAGTAGGCATAGTTTAAGTGGGTAGAGTCCAGAAGATGTGAATTCTTACTGGATGCAATAATGCAATAATCCATAGGTTTCAAGTGGCATTGCTCAAGTGTTGACTTATTTGATAATGCTTTAAAAATCACATTTTTCATTACTGGCAACAGGATTAGGTAGGTTTTCTCTTATAAGAAGATACACACAAAAGAGTACAGTAGATACTGATGTGGTAATGAAATTTTGTCAAAATGTAATTTCCTGCTACTAAATCTCATGACAGGTGCATCATATTTCTGGGTTCAGAAGTTATCCCCCAATGATGTAACTAGAGAGAATGTACCTAGGAATATCACCACTTGATATTTACACAGTATCTTCTCTTGAGGAAATGTTCTGCTTTTTTGTTTCCAGTGTATGCCTGTTACGAGTGAGTTTTTATATTTGTAAAACATTGTAGCAATATTTGCCACATGTGATTGGCATCCGCCTATTGAAGTGGTTATAGAGTGGTTTAAATTTATGTACGCCTGTGTTTTTTTGGTGTTTATTCCAGTCTTTATTATTGAATTTGTATTTGTCACTCAATAGATGTTTATTGGATTGAGTGACTGCAGGGCATTGCTTTTTTTTCTTTTTTAAACATATTCCTAAATTACACAGATATACATGTATACGTGTTTGCATTCTGCAAGCCAGTTGCTTTATTCAAGCTCAGCCTTTCTTCATTGCAAACATGTACAGATAGGGATATGGGCAGATGAACTTTAGTCTCATAAAGCCTGTACTGAGGTCTGTCTATAAAGTTCCGAGACTTCCTTTCCAACAAACTCATCTGAGCAACTGTCGTGAACAACTATGCATTTGGAACTTCAGTTTTGGAGCTCTTTGGCTGTAGATAATACCTCGCTGGGAACCATTACCCAGCTTAATCAGTCCCATTATTCACCATATTTGGCTCTCAAAGCTTTTTGGATGTCTCCAAAGATCAAACGCGCCCTCAAAGGGCTAAGATTGGCTGCTATAGAGACCATTCAAAAGAATATGCCCAAGGCTGAGAAGGCAGTTGCAAAAAGAAAGGGGAACTTGAGCAGGCATTCCAAAAATGCTTCAAACAATGGCTGCATGATGGGAATAAGTATGCAGCCCCCAAGGTGGCTGCTGTGAAGGGCAGTTCTCACTGAGGGATGTCCGTGTGGTTACTTGGTAGATAAACTTAATGTGTACACACGCATACACACATCCTGTGCAAAGTCAAACAGGTGTGAACTTCAGACCTTCCCTTTGAATTTTTCCTGCCCTCTGTTGTCCGTGGGTAGCCTTCTAGTTCTGTTCCCACCTGGCCCCTAAGTCAGCATTGCCTCACACTTTACCACTTGCTTTCACTTTTGCATAGATTCCTAAATTGATGGTACTAACAGGTAGCATTTGTGGCTGGATGATGTAAACATCAATCAGTATTTTATATCTATATCTATATATATATATATATAGATATAGATATATATAAATATATTATTAAGGGTTTTGAAAAGTAGTATGCTAAGACTTTGGAAGGAAGCTATACGATGGAATTGATACGTCCTTTTATTTCCTGCTCTTTGAATGTACTTATGGACAATGACAGGGATGGTTTCCAAGTGGCCCAAAGCAATAGATTTCAGGAGGCCACATTTTTCCCCAACGAGGACCCCAGTCCTTGCCCCAACGCGTCCGTGCAGGTTGGCTGGTGTGATGATAAAACTGGGTACAGACTGTTCCTGTGCTAGGCTGTTCCTTCGGCCCTCCCAGAGGACAGCCAGATGTGACATGCTCTTTGCTTTTCTCCTGTTTTAGTAATATATTCAGCAGTTTCTTTGTCAGCCCCAAGTCCTAAGTGTGGCCTTCCTGCCTAATTTTAGGCCCAGAGCCATGGAGCTGTGTGAAGCCGTATGGAGCCATTCTGGTAGGAACACTCCAGTGTGAGTTTAGGAGAAACTCGACTGTAAAGGAGAGATCTGGAGGAGTTCCCAGTGTACCCCTGGGCCTCTCAAAGGACGGGCTTTCCTTTCACTTGTGGAGACCACACGAAGTAAATCCTGTTTCTCTGGCAATTACAAGGATAAGCCTGGAATGCTTCTCCTTTTGTTTGTTTTTACATTACTGTCTCCATGCCAAGTCTTTATTAGTGAGTTAAAAAATAATCTGTTTACCTGTCTTTTAGAGGCGGGGTTAATATTTTAAAATAAACAGAAATCTCCTCCTAAACCAAGAGTCCTTCCTTGGTAAACCTCAGTTTACCTGAAAGCCATTCTGTACACAGGGAACGATGGCAGATCCCGGCTACTGCCGTTCCCTTCAAGAGGAGAGTGAGTGAGAAAGTGACTGGTCAGCACTTGTGTTGTGTGAATTTTAGAAGTTGTTGCTATCCTTGTAGCCGATAGGGATTTTTACTGCTGCATCTCGATTGTATCACAGAGCATGCCCTTGTTGTCCCTGTAATGAGATAAAGACCTTCCTGCTGGCTTGTCACTCAAGGGT